AGTTTTAGTTGAGATGATGGCAGTGAATACAACTAAGTTGAGAAAATATGAACATGGAACTAAAATACTATGCAATGATGAATTGAGAAAGTGAGCCCAGATTGCATCTGAAAATCTTTCTAATAACTAAAAATCTCAAATTCAGTTTTACCTTAATCTATAGAAAACTTATTATCAAATTCTCTGGAGGGAAAGGAAGTTTTTCTATAAAATAACTGACTGAAAAGCCAAAGGAAAGACTCCCATTTTCCTCCAGAGTGACCTCTACTGTGATTGACACAAACTGCATTGTGTGGGAGCTGTCATGTTTTTAATACTTGTCAAACTTGACAGAGAGCATGCAAGGATGTTTGTGAAGGGTCAGCTCTTGACCCATGGGAAGGGATTATAGCAGTGGAAGTAGTGATTGTGTAGGCTGAGGAGAATTTTTGACCCCTGAAAAAGAGGAAAATTAGCTTGAAGGTAAAGGGAAGAATCAGATCTGTGAATTAGATAGGAGAAACTGAAACAAAAAGTTCTCAGCCACTAAAGAGAAGAACTGTTTCTATGAGCAAAAGTAGGTTAGGAGGCCCTGGAAAAATAAGAAAAACCTTAGCTTATATGTTAAATGGATGCTTTTAGGCCCTAGGTAGAAAGTCAAGACTAAGAGTGAACAGAAAGAGGACGTGAGGATAGTATATAACCTTCTAAACATTATAGAGAAATATAAAAGCAATGTCAGAGCTATCTTACAAATATCAATATGAAATTAAACTAGCTGCATGGATATAGTGTGTGACCTAACTCTGTCTGGTTAGGTTCTACAATAATAACAAAAATGCTATTGTAAATACGGTAAATTATAAAATAAAAAGAATAAAGAACTTTGGTTATTGGTTTATTCATATTCACCAAGTTATTTGTTCATGACAATAACTGAACAACCTTGGAAGTCTTGGCACACAATTCTTTTTCTCTTTCTTGCAGTTGTTCCCACTTGAAAATGAGATCAAAACAGAAGCTTCTTTTTTCTATTTGCAATCCTTCAGCATCCTGTCCTTCAATAATATATCTCTATTTTTCTCTTCTTCTGCCTTTTACTTACCCCTTTCACTACTGCCTCTTTTCACACAAGTTTCCATAATTTTGGTCATGGTAAAGACAGGAATTACCAGACTATTGGGATTAAGGAAAACAGCCTCTGTCTGGTTCAGGACCATGGACAAGGAGTAAGCCTTACTTCATATGAGGTAAAATAAATCGGTGCCCATGAGAAAAATCCTACAGAGGAAAACTTGAATAACTAGTGGAGAAAAGGAACAAAGAAGATGAGACTCTCCATTTACAAACTGTCCTTCCTAAACTCCATCACTATTTTATAATATTTCCTTAGTTCTGCTGCCAATAAGGCTGGTATTTAGGGAATGAAAAGAGAATAAAATAGGTGAAAAGAGAATAAAATAGGTGCAAATACTGTATACATGTTAATGTAAATGGTTGAAACTGTTCCAGAAAGGGGGTAGGGAGGGATAAAGGAGGATGATGGAGGGGGTGAATTCAAGGATGATATATTTGATATATTATAAGAACTTTTGTAAATGACACAATATATCAATTAAAAAAAGAAAACCTATCAATGTTTCCTTCCCTTAATCCAGCCAATGAAACTCTTTGTAACCAAAGGAGTGCTGCTCTAATTAAGAAGATGATTCAAGGTTGGGGAAATTACTCATGTCACTTTATTCACTATCACTTATTAAAGTGGTTTCATTGAATTGATGCTGGGTACTCAGAGAAGTCCCTGAGAGAGAACCTAGTGAGAATATGATAGTTTGATGCAGCTTTCAGCTGATGTTCCTCTATAGCATTTACCTCTGGGCCATAGTCTACACAAATGGTTCTCAACCAGTGACTGAACACAGTGGAGTCAATGGAGCACTTAGGCCCAATGTAGGGCTCTTCCAGCAAGAAGCCTTCTCCCTGGGACTCTCTGTTCATCTGCCCGACTCTTCTTTCTTGAATTCAGTTTAGTCTTTTCATACCTAATCCTCCATCCTTTTACAAATGTTAAATCCATATCATGGTCATTCCTTGCCTACTTGTGCTTCTCCACTTTATCTCTGAAATGTTCTTCCCAATCAATGTTATACATCTAGTGATGTCTTGGTGTGTGCTTTCTGTAGAATCTTTGCTTACAGATATGACAAAAGTTACCAAAATCTTACAAATGTATAAAATGAAATCCATATAGGCTGCATCCTTACAGTCTTCTCTTTTACCCTTTTTTAAAAATTCACTTTCTCTCCCTTTCCCAATTCCTTTACCAGAGCCTATCTGAATCTTTATGGTGGCAGACGTGAAAGAATAATGAAGGTTGACATGTCTTTTTCAGCAACTCTTACATAAAATGTAAAGAAAGCTGAGTAAAAATTAGAAAGCAGAATTGTCAGCTCCATGATTTAGTTTCACTGGATGTAAATTTTTTTTTTCATTGACAATTAAGAAAGAAGAGGAAGGATGAATGAGGCTTGGCTTTGAACTGAGTAGGGAATATGAAGGAAGAAAACTAAAGAATATACTCATACTATCATGAAGGAGTAACTGTTCCCTATTTTTAAATGTTTTCCTAGAAAAAAAGAAGTTAGGATATTTAGAGTGATATAGTCATATTGCATTATATTAAGAAAGATATTTAAATACTTATAGGAAAACTAAAATGAACAAATCTTCCCAAAGAGCTTATAATTGAAGGCTCATATATGGATGCACTATTCAAGTTGTTCAAGAGGAAATTAGCATTCAGGGAAACACAAAATCACTCTTCTTAACTTCATTTGTAAACATTTTTATTTCAAATATTTTTACACCTCCCCAAAAAGACATGGGTCAGTAACAATCATAAAAAGGAGATATAAATGCAAGAGTCAAAAAACCAGGAATGATCCATGGGATTTTCAAACAAGATCTACAGCTGCTACTAATGTCCTTTAAGAAAGTCAAACATGCCTGTTAATATAGTATGTACAGGTACCACATTGTGGACAGGGACATTCCAACACCCATCCTTTCTATCCTCAGAATGACAGTAAAACACACCCAAAGTACATGTATTTTGTTTATCTCAAAGCATTTTTCCCTTTCCCCATCCCATCAGATCTTCCCGTCCTATTTAAGATTGATTTGCAAGTCTACTTTTAACCAGTTACTCAATTTTATAGTTTATGAAAATAGACTATACAGCAACTATTTTAGTGAATTAACACAGAAAGAGAGAATAAAGGAGAAAAACTAAATGGGAAGACAAAAGTCAGGCTGTGCTTTGTCTAGGAGGAAGCAGGGATAGCTAAAACAGACAGTTTGCAGAAGGGTGTGCTCCATCTGAAGAATTTGCAAATGGTTGGAGCCAATAACGATATTCCCATTTCTTAAAAACAAACAAAATGTACAGCAGTGGCTATGCCCCAGGAAGCACCAGTTTGGGTATTCCAACAACTGGCCTACCCACAGAGATGTGCCTAAATCCTGCTTTTTACTGAGGATAGCACCAGGGATGGAGTAGTCAGTGATCTTCCAGTTCCACCTGTGATGGAGAGGGAGCTAAGCTCACAGCTCTGAGTGGGCTAGGTGGTATGTGGTTGAGACTTTAAATTTTACAAATGTTTCATTTAAAAAAAGGACCATGTGAATATATTTAACAAAAGATTCATTTTAAAAGAATAAGAATGTTATAAAACAGAATAGAACAGTGAAACTTTATGACTAACCCCCAACATACATATAATTATGTCTATAACATTATATATATAATTTTTGCTTCTGTTTATATTGTATTCAGCTGTATTCAAAATTTAACACTTACATATATATGCATATATATGTATATGCTTATTAAACTGTGTAAAAGCTTTACTCCACAAATTATACTTTGAAAAAATCTAACTAGTGAATCATTCATGCAACATCATTTACAACAATGGTACCTATGAATAATTTTGAGTATCAACTAAGACAAATACACTAATAATTATAACAAATACTTTGAAATATCTGCATCACTTAGAAATAATGAAGTGTAAATTTTTGCAAGGCACATTGTTAAATGAAATGAAAAGGAGAAAAGAGAGAAAGAAAACTTCAAGTTGCCAAAACAATACATTATAGAGACTACATTATCTGAGCTGGAAAACTGACTTTGCCATTTACTAACTGTATTAATACATTTTTAAGTGTTTCATGTAGTGATTTTTCTCATTTTTAAAACGAATGTCAAAATAGTACTTACCTCATAGGCCACTGTAAGAATCAAATAAGTCATTATATATGAAACAATTCTAACAGTTCATGGTACAAAGTAAGCATTAAAACTAGTGCTTGTGGCCCAGTTTATGTTAAAATACACATGGATCATAATACAGAACTGATTTTGTATGCACATAGATATGAATGCAAGCACACAGAAAAAGTAATGTGAATATACCTGTCAAAGTGACATCAATTTGTAATTTGGGGCGTTGAAGAAGATACTTCTTTTCTGAGTGATTTACATGGAGAATACGTCATACATTATTTTGTGACTAAATGTTAAATATTTTGATATGCACTACTATGAAACTGTGGAAAAAATGGTATAGATTACATTCATTAAATTATTGACATGAAAAGATGTTCACACATTAAGTGCAAGTAAGCAGATCAAACCTTAGCATTAATTGTGGTAACATAAATACAATTATGAAAATTGTATCTATGAAACTGGTTATACGATTTCAGTTTTCTTTTTTATATATGTATATATGGTGAAATTATATATACATTCAGATTCAAATTTGTCATAAGCATGTGTCTCATTAATTTTTAAGGAAACAGTATAAAAGCGATTTTACTGTGACAAAAATAAAGGAACAGTGAGCTTACTTAATTATACCATCATGAAAAAACCTTGCACTGAAAATATGTGTTGAGAACACGGCCAAGTGCTATTGACAAATGGAATGAATCAGAAAGGTTATGAAGGTACTTACCCTCCAAACACCTGGAGTGCAGAGGATCTGGAAGCATCCAAATCAGTGCCACTTACTATTCGAGCCTTAAATGAATAAGAAAAAACAAAACAAACAGGTTTTTAGCATACTACAGCTAAATGGATGCGAATTTGGGACACAGGTCAACTGCACTACACATGTAACACCTAGTATGACAGATGCTAAGCAGGGTCAGCTCCAAGTCAAAGCTGTGTTTTGTGAGTGGAGGTTTCGAAATTAGCTGTCAGCATTTAAACAAAAGCACTGGCAGAGTCTAGGAGAATACATCAGATTTCAAATACTATTTGCCCTTAGAACTCAGTATGTACAGTGGAGACCATGAATCAGTCAGGAAAGTCATGACTAAGCCAGACTTAAGAACAGATGCTGTTTGACCGTAGCAGACCCCTAGATTGGCAAGTATAAGCTAAAGTAAGCGCAGCTGGCAAGGTGTGACCTCTTCATAAATGCAACAAATTAGGGCACACTTAAAGGACAACCAAAGAATGGAAAGCTGGGATGACATGCACATTTCACAACCAAAACAGGTCTAATATGTCACAAACAAACATGTACAAAAGACAAGATCCCTCAGGAGGGAAGAAAAAGTATGATTTAAAACCTTTTCATCCACAGAACTGCTATCTGAAAGAGAATCAGGAAAAGAAGGAATACATGTTAGATGGAGTACTTTTCAAGATAACATTTAAACATATATACTAACAAAGTGTTATTGTTGCATTGCTAAAAGTCATAAATGAACAGAGTTTCAAGGCTGAACCCCAAAGGAATAGTTATAATAGGCTCTCATAATTTATAGAGCTGAATAAGGTGATAGAACACTTGAAAAGTATACTAGGGTCATTGCTGGATTTAATGAAAGAAAACATGACATATTAGGAGAACATAGTTGAAAAATTAGGAGTCTTGGACTCTGCCACTTACTAAGCACATTGGGCTAACTACCAGATTCTCTACAGTCTAAACCCAACTTTGAAAGAAGGTCACAGATACTTTGCTGAATTGCTTGTCAACATTGTTAAGATCAACTAAACAAATATTTGTAAAAGTAAACTTCAAATTACTATATAACTTAATTTTATTACAGGATTGTTTGCTTGTGGCTTCTCATTTCATAAAACTTAAGAGCTAAATTTTAATTAAATGATTCCATCTTATAAGTAAGAAAGCTGATACCAAAAGGATTAAGTGATGATTAAGACCACAAAGCTAGTAAATGGCAGAAGGACTCCAGAACTTCCACTTAAGTGCCTTTTAGATTCAGCATTTTAGGGGAATTGGACAAAGCAGCAAGAGGTGGTTGGTCCAGTCTTCCAAAGCAATTGAAGATAAATCATAGGGTCACCATTTTCAGTGCCAACTTCTCATGAGTTCAAGTAGATGGACAACAGAATATTGTGTGGTTGTAGTGTTGTTATTATTGCTGCTGTTTGCAAATGAAAGTCCATATCTGCCAGGGTCATAAGGCTATATGGTCATTTTTACCTCATACAGGACTACTGCTCTTAAGCTTTTTCTGCTTTGCTTATTAGCATGAAGCTGCAGGGACAGCTCTATGGATAGAAACTGGCAGGTTGCTAGAGCTGGAGTGACCATGGAGTTCAGTCCAAACCCCTTCCTATTCAGGTAAGCCTCAGAAAGATAATTTGCCCAAGGACATTTAGCAAAAAATGATCCTCACTGATGACTATCTGCAATATATTAGTTTTCTCAACTCATTAAGCATGGATTGATTATCACAAGTAAATATTTTGTACAAATTTTATGATCTTTCAGAGTCATATCTGCAAATATAAATCATAGTAAAATCAATTATAAGATAATAAAAGATGAATCTTAGTTATAGGCATAAAAATTTTTAAATGTTGCATAAAATGAAACAATTAAAACAGCATTATTTCAGAAGAATAATATATGATATCTGAGAATGTTTTATCTCAAAGGTGATTAAAGATTGTGGGATGACTAATTTAATATGACACATCAGTTGATCACACATCTATTAGTCAGAAATGTGCATCTGAATTTCAATAGGTAACCAAAAGTCATTTGATTTCAAACCTTCCTAGTAATTCTTAGAAACATCCTTAAAATAGGATTGTAATGGGTCGTTCTTAAGTTTAACATATTAAAAAATATCTTATTTTTAGAGTCATCAATTTATGTGAGAAATGTTATCACATTTCCATTGTGAAGAGCAAAAGAAAACTCTCTTCTACTATAATATTTACTTATTTCTGGAAATTCTAGTCAATATATTAACACACAAGCAGAAGAAAACAATAGAAATATTAGAAATCTGGACACAAAGCTGTTATTTTTCAGGACTTATTATTTTATATCCCTAAAACAAAATAAAACAAAATCACCTAGAAAATTATAAAGATTGCTAAAATAGTTAAAGTGTCTATCTAATCAACACATAAACAAAATAATAACAGATATTTTCTACATATTCACAATTACTTATTTGGAAAAATAATGAAAGAAGAGCTGACTTCAAATATTCAATATTTTTGATGAGTAATTTGTATTCATTGCTTCCCATTGACATATGTCTTCCATATCAGACATCCCACTGGATTAAAATAATCATACCAGGTTATCAATTACAATTTAGCTGCTAACTCTGGCAACACATTGATTCATTCAATATTCTATTTGTTCACTCATACAATACATACTTATTACCAATGAATCCTTTTTGTTTACTTCAACTCCTTTATCTCCCTGCTATACTCTCCCCTTGACACCTATGTAAAATAAAGGTATTTTTATAACCCTTTTTATAACCCGCCAAGGAAACACTCAATGCCTCATGAAAGAAAATCAGATTCAGATTATTGCAGTCCTGTGGTTAACCATTCCTCTTTCAGAATTAAAATACCGCTCTGCGCCTTTGCACTTGCTGTTTCCTTCCTTTAAAACAACTGTTCTCCCTTTCTCATTTCACCAATTGCCTGTTATCCTCCAAAACTCTTCTAAAGCTAACCCCCTCCACTGGAAATCAGTGTTTTATTCAGTTTTTGACCTTGTATTAAGCACTGCACCCTGACCATTCTCTGCTCCCTTCATCCTTTTCCTGTCTCCTTGTCTGCAATTCTCCTGAAACCTGAGCTCCTCAGAATTAGTAAGTTTTTAAACTTGTTTTCTTCTTTTCTACCACATTCCTGAAATTAAGTAGATGACCAATAAATGTTTTCTGAGGGTTGAAGGAAAAATTTCATAATCTATACTACTTTATGGAAGTATCTAAAATAATAATAAAAGAAAATATGATTTCATCTTCCTATATAGAGAGGATAGATTCTTATCTAGTAGATTTAAAAATCAGAATCTTAATGGCAGGAAGGTTGTAACTTGAAATTAAGCTAATTTCAAGTGTAACTGGATTAGTATACAAGTAAAGACATCTAAGATTTTGTAAAGGGAGCACTATGAGGCCAATCTTTAAAAATGTATAATATCTAAAATAGTATGCCCTGGCAAAATAATAGATGGGAAGGTGAATGAAATACAAATAAAACAAATATACTCTTATACTTCAGACTTCAATGACTAAGAAAGAACACATTTTATCAGAGACAAAGAGAATCACTAGTCAGAGAGCAGTGCTTTGATAGTGAGTTAAGTATCTATAATATTCATTTGTATCCTTGTCTCATACATATGCCACAAAGTCTCATATGTATTAGAGAACTAAATATAAGACAAAGAAAAATAAAGTACAAATAGAAACAAATATTTATTAAATGTATGGAACGAGAAGAGATGTTAAAATTGAGATAATAGATAATTCCCAAAATAAAATGCAACAATGTTAATTAAGTGTGAAAAATTATCCAATTTATTAAAACTATGCCTAATCATGATTACAAAGTTAACAAGGAATGTGATAAAGATTAATTTCAATGAAACAAAAAATAATTTCCAAGACTGTTGAGGATATCATAAATCAAACACTATCATGCAGAGCTGATGACAGCGAAAATTGTAATAAAAGTTTCAGAAAACTTGTAGTAATATTTAGACATCTAAATTCCAGTCTGGAACATTGTTTTTTACAGGCTTACATTCTACTTACATATTAACCTGAAATCTTCACAGTAGCCTTGCTTTGGAATAGTATCTCACATCATCTTCCTGTGCTACAATGTGCTATTGTCAGGAGCCAGCTTAGGCGAGTGTTGTCTGAGTTTGGACTAGTCTAGGGGCCAGAAACCCCTGCATATTCCAATCTCTGGGAATTCACAGACATTGCACTTCAATGATTTGGGTGGACTGCAACTGCATCATGACTCAAACTTGACCCAACAGAGTGACTGCGACATAACTCTGGTGGATTTCCTGCACTCCAGATGACAGGTATTGTGACATGGAAGGGAACAGAGATTGCCACTCTCAGGAACCTGGTCTCCTGATCAGGACATTTGCTTTATGGAATCAAGGACATGGCCAGCTGTGTGAGGACTCGCACCAGGCCATAATTAAAGGTTGGTGCCCAACATGGTTCCCACTGTCCCTTTCCCCAAACCCTACTCAGGTGCCTAAACGCATGGAACACTGGAATTCCCACTACTATCTGCATAGAGGTGTGCTAAAGAGACTTTAGCATCCTCATGGCCACAGCCGTTCCTTCACTCCTGGGATTTGGGCTACACCTGATGGAGGAATGGGAGGGGGAGTCCCAGTTCCAGCTGCTGCCCCCCACTGGGGATGCACTACTAAGAGGAATTTGCCTGTTGCCAGCTACAGGCTTACTCCCAGGAATGCACTGTCACTGGCAAAGAGGAGCACCCTGGTTCCTGCTGTCACCTAACAGGTACAATTCCTTTTACCACCTTAATCCCATACCTTATCTGAACATGTGCTGTTCTTTGGACTGGGTATACAGTCCACAAAGGAGGTGCTTTAGTTTGTGCCATTGGCTCTTCCTATGCATCATCTGTGCCCACCTACTTACTGGTTAAAGGATATGTGCTTTAGTCCCCTCATTGCTGCTGGGGATGTCAGCACCATGGGTCCTTGCTAATAGTAGATTTAGTATCAACAGTGCCTGAGGAAATCCCAATCACCTGATAAAGACACCAACCTCATTGTAGGAATAACACAGCACATACTGAGTTCCCCATACCTATTGTTGTCTGCACCATACTGGCCTGAGTTGCTAGAGTATCCAACTGTGACTCTCCCATGGCACATACAGTGCCTAAACTTATTAATTATAACCAAAGAAGCAATCAGGAGACTACACCCCTTCCTTCCTCCTTTCCTCCCTCCTCTCCTTCCTTCCTTCCTTCCTTCCTTCCTTCCTTCCTTCCTTCCAGTGCCCAGCTGGAAATAGAGCCAATATTGCATAACAAATGTACAAACCGAGGCATACTTTCAGGAGAAAGTCACCTAAAATGAAGGTCATCTAATAATCTAATACAAAGGGCAGAGTTTCTTGATCCACCACGAGATGTACAAATAACAATATAGGAGAAAAGGAAATATGGGGATAAAAGAAAATCTGATGCCTCTAAAGGAACAGAATAACTCTTGAAACAGATCACAAATCAATAGAGATGAAATGCCTAGTATTTTATTTAAAAGAATGAGTTTTACAAACCTCAATGAGATAT